TTGAACAAAAAATTTGACACTTTTAGCGTATAACTTGTTCGATGACGTCTAAAATTTATTTATGAAATTTTACTTCTACTGTGTCTGATTCAAAGATAGGTTTGCCATCAAATGTCCAAATTATATCAGGTTGCGGTATTCCAGTTGCTTTGCACTCTATTTCCACAGTATTTCTAACAGAAGTTTCTAATTGCTGTAAAGTGGGTCCAATGATCTTTGGTGGCACTAAAATGGTTTCATATTTTAGCAAGTGAATAGAGACAAAAACGTTACTTTAATTATTAACGTTTTTCTTTTTGCTTATATTATATTCACAGATATCAAATGACAAAGTTTACCCAAAAACTTGATGACTGGTTAATGTAGAAGAAAAAAAAAAAGAAGAAGAAATAGATAAGTAGAACTGAAATGATTTAACAGTGCATGCCGTTGCCAGAAAAAATTTACCAAGTACAATAACTTTCATATTAGATCTTGCTTCACCAGCTTCATTTGTTGCAACACAAGTGTAGTTACCAGAATCAGAAACTTGTCCGTGCATTAGATGAATCTTATGACCACTAGTAGAAAACTGAAAGTTAAGAATTGTTTTCACGCTTTTTTGCTCCCAATACTTTTCGATAAAAAGAAACTGATTTAAAAAGTTCTCTTGAACTTCTATGATCAAACCTGAAGATTTGGTGACGTCGCAATTGGGATTCCATTTTTTAACCATCGAATTTGCACAGACGGATCCTTTATCGGACATTCCAGTGTTCGAGTATCATTTTCCAACACTTCAAAAACTCTGTTGTTTTCCATCATTTTTGGTGGTGCTAAAAAAATGAAAACGTAAAAGTAACGTTTGAATTCTGACAAGAAAAACAAGCCTTTACTGTTTTTTTTTTTGGTCTTAGGACATTTTAATTTTGCTCATTCTAATTATTCAATTAAATGACGACATAATATTGCTTAGTTTAGCTTGAAATCATAAAAAAGATGTGTTTAATTTATCAGTATCAGTGATAACTTTCAGATTCAGGCCAATAGAAATAGAATTATACTAGATGTAATTAAGAAAGAGTTATTTCTTCTTCTGATTGACATTTCGTCTCATCTGTTACTGAGGTCAAAGAATCATCCCTTAGTTATTTTGAAATCCAATTACAACAGTCAAAAATTTTTAAGAAAAAAAATTCTTTTGAAAGATCAGCAAACGATAGGATCGCTTTGAATATGGTAAATTAAAGCGAAATAAAAATAATAAAAATTGTCTTCTTTTTTTTTGTCTCTTTTTTTCAGTTCTTAAGATAAAAAAAGTACCCTTTTTTGTATCTTTCAAATGTAAAACTGTTAACCAATTTTGATAACGTCTGATGTTCAGATATTTTGCAATGAATAATGATAAAAATAATAATAATAATAATTCTTGACTGTGAACTAAATCAGTAGCCGAGTTTTAGCCAACAAAAAACCAAAAAAAGGCTATATTAAACTGGGTAATAAAAGTCATCTCTTGATGATGTCTGTTTTAAAAGATGAGAAAAATTTTAGAAGTTTTTAGCTAAAATAAAATCTGCAAAAATGTTGAAGAAAAAAATTATATGTACATTATTTTGAAAAGAGAAATTTTGTTTTTTAAAACTTTACAAGTCACATTAAATTATTCGCTTATTATATCAAAACAATTTTATGGCAAATACACACACCCACATAGAAACAAAAAAAAAAGTATTGAAAAAAAATTGGTGGAGAAATAAAACATACGTAAGACAGTAACAATAACATTCTTTTCTGCGCTTCCAACCTTATTTTCAGCAAAACACGTGTAGTGACCAGAATCCTCTTCAGATGGTGATTCAATGTGCAATTGTTGTTTCTCATTTAGAAACAGAATATCGTCGTTGCTTTTCACCAACTCTCCGTCCTTAACAAAAACCAAGTTTGTTTTAGAAAAACCAAAAAGTACGTTATAGATATCGCTGAAAGCAGGCTTCAGATTTTGCTTGCCCAATATCGATGATTTTCGGTTGATTTCAGACGTTTTTGCTGCTTACGATGTTTGAACTGACGAAAAAACCAACAAACGATTAAAAAAAAGACAAAAATTTTGTCCCAATTATTATATCCCCGAGATTTAAAACCTATTGCATATTTGCCACATTTATCCAAATTCCAATTCAGTTGTTGTTGTTGTTGCTGCTGTTCCATAGATTTAGTAAAAAAAATTTGAATGTTAGCCAAAGTTTTGGTCACTGTATTTAGCAGCCAACAAAAAGAAAAAAAAACGAGTTAAAGCGGCAAAATAACCAAGAAAAGAGATAGTCAAAAAATATAAGTTGCAAAAAGCAAAAAAATAGTTATGAATATTTTGACGTCGCAACCTTTTTCATGACTTTTGGTTTTTGAAAACTAGAAATTCTCACTACTTCTTAAATTTCCTGTTGTTGATATTTTTTGCTCAGTCGTTCTTTTAGACTACAGAACCATTTTTTGAGCATAACGGCACTGAATTTAGATCAAAAATAGAAAAAGCGAGACAGTAAGAACTGTCGACAGAAGTCAAAAACAGTTGACTTATTGATATGGCCTAATATTGCCTTCAAAAAGCTAGTGACAACAGAATAAAGCTTTTTGTTTTACCAAAAGTTTTCTTCTTCTAGCATAATATTGAGAAATGTCACTTATATGGATACCTATAGAGAAGTCTTCAAAAAGCACCAAATATTTTTTTTTGTTCCTGTTATTCATCTGTTACTTTTAAGAACACAAAAAAATACAAGTGATTTTTAGAATCATAAATTAAAACAGCAACGAAAAAGAATAAAAATTTATATTTTTCAGAGTTTTGATGGTAGCTAAAAAAATTTCATAAGTTAGGCAAAAAAGCAACAAAAAAAGTAGCTGCGAATAATCAATGTAATGGTAGAAAAAATATCGTTTTTTGGTGAAAGTCCGTCTTATTTTTTTCTGAAAACTGCAATTTTCTGCACGCTCCGTTACATTCAATAGCTTTGAATTCTTCTTTTGCTGCTAACGCACCGAGTGATCAAAAAAAAATTTCTTTTTTTTTCTAATCCTGCTACAACATTAGGAAATAAAAAAAAAAATTTTAGTGAGAAGATCTGTCAAATAATCGTCAACAAAACACTTAGAATTTTTGTTGCATTTACATTTCCTCTCACCTTCTTTCTCTCTATTCCTATCCCCCTTTTGAATACTTCAGCTACTTATTTGCATTCTACCAACAACAATAACCAACCACAACTTTTTTAAATACTTTCATTTTTGACATATAACTGAACTGGCTATAAATGAACTGTCTCATCTCACCGCTTTCGTCTATTCTTCTCTTATCCTCATCTTATTTCCTTCTTCATCCTCTTCTCCTAAGTACCAGTAACTTTGTCAATTAAAC